TTTTTGACTCAACCACATCGTCACACTCAGGATTCCAACGACCACAACGAGTGACAACCAAATCGGTATCTTAATGTAATCAATCAACAACATTTTGCCACCAATAAAGACTAAAATTAACGCTAATCCATAATTAAGCAAGTGAAATTTATTCGCCACGCCCGCCAACAAGAAATACATAGCCCGCAGTCCCAGAATGGCAAATACATTGCTAGCTAAAACAATAAACGCATCATCGGTGATTGCAAAAATAGCGGGGATAGAATCCACCGCAAAAACGATATCAGTCAGAGCAACCATCAAAATTACCAAAAATAAAGGGGTCGCCATGCGCTTACCGTTTTCGATGGTAAAAAACCGTTCGCCGTCATAATGTTTGCTCACTGGGATAATCTTGCGTAAGGCTTTTAGAATGGGGTTATCGTTTAAATCTGGCTCTTTACCAGCAACCAACCACATTTTGATCCCTGTGATGACTAAAAAGCCACCAAATACATACAAAATCCAGTGAAATTCTTTCAGTAGCCACGCCCCGATTAAAATCATCACGGTACGTAACACTAACGCTCCGACAATACCAATCATCAACACCCGCTTTTGATAGGCAGCAGGCACTGAAAAGTAGGTAAAAATCATTAGAAAAACAAAAATATTATCGACAGCCAGAGATTTTTCGATTAAATATCCCGTGAAAAATTCGAGTGATTTTTGATGGGCTATCGCGATTGAACCTGTGGTATCCCAAGTGGCGAACCAAAATAAGCCATTAAAAGCAAAACTTAATCCGATCCAAACGAGGGTCCAGTGCAAAGCTTCTTGGGTTGTCACTTCATGTGCACCTTGTTTTTTGAGGACAACAAAGTCCACAAACAAAGCGGCTAAAACAAAAGCAACAAAAACGCCCCAAAGCCATAGGGGTTGAGAGAGATATGCAGTAGACATACAAGACCTTTCTTTTTAACAAATTGAAAATATATAAATTTCATTTTGCCAAAAGGTCTCGCTGGAAGATTAGGGTCTTTGCTCGGTCCGGTTAAAAACACCCATACTCTCTTTGTTTTTAACGTATTGACGGATCCGCGCCCCACACGCAGATTGCGTCAGGTGCTACTCCCCCCTTGGTCTTTTTATTCTAACAAAATAATAAAAACCTTGCAACTACTGCTTCGGTGTTTTTCACGCCTTGTTGCCTTGCTATTTGTCGTGTTTTTATCGTCTACTCGCTTATACGTTCTATTTAATTAAACGGGACATAAAATTTGCCCACCATTTTTTGGGACATTTTGAAAGAGAATTGGCATAAAGTGCATTTTTCTATAAACCTGGAATTTCTTCATATATTCAATTGGGTTACTATGGTCACGAAAATAAATAGAACCATAGCGTCCATAATCCATTAAAATAGCTACTGCCCAGCTGCCTTCTTGTTTAGGTTTAACATGTTTTCAAATTTACCCAATCTTTTAACATCGTTACGGTTATTAATTATCCCACTCATCGCAGTCATTTATTTTTTGCCTGATGCGTGGCTGACTCTGCCTGAAAAAAATTTCTGGGCGGCATTGTTAATGGTATTCGCATCCCTGACAGACTGGTTAGATGGTTATTTAGCGCGCAAATGGCAACAAACC